CCCTGGACCAGACAGGGGAGAGGCACTGAGCAACAGTCTCCGTCAGTGGGGCACAGTCACTGGGCCAGACAGGGGAGTGGCAACGAGAGGAGTGTGCATGTGTTTGTATTAGTCAGCAGTTTAACATCCACATCCCAGTCAGACAGTCAGTATTAACTCTGAGCTGAACAGTCCTTGTTTTATGACCTAATGCCAAGTGCCATGCAGGGTAACAACAAGTACCAAATTTATACATCTTTTGGTATGATGTGGTCGGGGATCAAACCACCAACCATCTGCTCTCTGGACACATGCTCTATCCATTAGTTCTACACATAGTACCAAGTCTACTTGCTTGAACTCGTATGTTGGCAAGAACTGTAATTGCTTTTAATGTTAACATATGGGCAATTATGAGCTCAACTTACTGGGCTCAAGGCTTCAGATTTGTGGTCGAAGTTGCAGACAGAGTACCCAATATGAGAATCAAACCAAGAACTTGGTGAACTGACATACCCAAGGGCAACCCAAGGGCCCTTGAAATGAATGAGTGAGTGAGTAAGATTTTATGCATCTTTTAGTAATATACCATTTCCAGTAATATCCCAGACACAAGAAATAGGCTTCAGACATTTTACCCATCCAGAGAATCGAACACATGCCTTGGCACGATAAGTAAACGCTTTAACCACTGGACTATCCCACTAGCCCATGATATGACAGTGAGTGAGTGAGTGAGTGAGTGAGTGAGTGAGTGAGTGAGTGAGTGAGTGAGTGAGTGAGTGAGTGAGTGAGTGAGTGAGTGAGTGAGTGAGTGAGTGAGTGAGTGAGTGAGTGAGTGAGTGAGTGAGTATGACTTGGCACGACAAGCCAACACTTTAACCTCTAGGATACCCCACCAACCCATGATTTGAGATTGCTGGGAAATTCCCATTTTCCAGTACCAGTCTGAGACTCGTATCCCAAACTTGGCTCTCAGCATCATTTTTTTACTTTTATGTGGACTATCATAACTGAGCTTACTTGCCCAAACAGAATTTTACTAGACTCTGGCTTCAGTACAGCTCATGTCCCGAAACCCTACGCAGCTGTGTAACCACAAGGGGGCCTCAGTCCATGAAGGGGACATGCAGTGAAAAACACTTTCATGTTAAACCAGCCTATCAACATGAAACAAGCAATTCTGTGATCTCTTCAGCCTGCTGTGACCGAGAAGGATATTTCTGTGAATGGAGGAAGTGATATGATGAGCTCAGCGCAACAGCTAACTTCCCTGTTGTGTTCTCCTCTTCCTTGACTGTACAAACTTGTCTTCTGGGGATTACACATGTTTAACACTCAGCTGACACAAGGGGGTGCTTCTAGGAAATACACATTCGGAAATCAAGGAGTTTGCAGAATCAATATCATGATCTCTACTTAAGTACAACCGTGTCAACATTACATGTTTATTTTTATTGTTAAAACTACCTAGTCATGGCATTCTTAAATGGGAATATTTCAATGACCAGCTTAATCAAAAATAACTAAATTAATGTATATCTAAAAGTAATCTACCATATTTTTGTGAATGGTAAAAACATGTTACAGAAAATACTGTGGTGTAGAAGGGAGTGTGTATCTTACATAAAGCTTGTTAACATTGGAAATCACGGAATTAGCACCGTAAACATCTTCTTTACAAGATTGCAAACTTGAGACATTGTGTGTACTGTAAGGATGCTAACTTATACATGTATACCAGTTTTACACAAACAGAGGGGGATTTGCAGATATTTAGGTGAATATTTTCCTGTAGAACTTCATAATTAAGGAATTATGGGATTTTCTGAAATCATACAAAGCTGTTTTCTTACTTGCCACAATAGAAAAATGAGAAGCACTTTTTGAACATTCTAAACAAGTATGACAAACTGAAGTAGGCTGTTTTACAACTTGTGCACAGGAAAATAGTTTCTGTGTACAAAAGTAATTACCTGTAAACATGGCACAATAATTTTTTCCTTTCAAAGAAAATCAATTCATGCACAAAGTGTCAGACAATACATCAGCTTCATTGTTCCCATAGTTTCACTTGATCAAAAACACATCTTTAAATATGCAGATAAGTTGCGTATTTTTGCATACAATACCCCCCAGAACTATTCAAAACCCAATTACTTTCAAATTAACAGAAACGCATGCATTAAATGAAAAACTCAGTCGTTTGAAAACAGCACGCGTAAATATCCAATGAAGCTTTTTCAGCATGTGTACAACAGAGCTAATTTCCAAAACACAATTACGATCTAATTTACTTTCTGAGTCAAGCCTAAATTTAGAACCGTTATATCATGTATATACATCTAAAACATTATTTATTTATTTTATTAAATCTCAAAAACCTTACTTTGTTTGGGAAAAAAACAATAGAGTGACGAATAGATGAGTGAAAAGATATTGGTTACCCAATAAAAAATGTAATAACCCAATTTAACAAAAAAACTTCAAGTAAAATCTCAATTGCTCAAAAAGTTATTTGGAGCTCTGAATATGACTTTACTCACAGAGGTTATAATCATTGTCATAACCGAAAATAGATATACTTTTAAAACTACTTAAAAACATATATTCAATCGAGAAATGTATTGCTATAAAAAAGAAATAAATACATGCTGTGTTTGACTGTGATGGTGTGTTGCAACCTTTTTGGTTTGAAATGTGACAATGTTAGTTTCCAAACCTTTGAATTTTTAAAGAGTGTATTGTATCATTCCATGCAATCTGAAATATGGTTTTGACGGAATAGTGTATTACTCTACAAATCAAAATTGTTTCAAAAGTAAAGTAATCATTGTTGATGTGTTAGTCGATTCTTTGGATTAAAGATTTGGAAACTGACAATATTACATTGGTAAACTTGTCAAGTAATACATGTAAATAGATTTTTTCTAAATAAAAGGAAAAACATTGAAAACAAAAAGAGATCCTGAATTGATATTGAACCAAACATAATCAAAGAATTGAAATACTGTTGTGATTTTTCATTTTAATTTAACTGAAAACCCCCCAAACAAACACTATTTATTTACAGAACATTTGTATTCAAACCAACTACAGCATGGCATGACCCTATGGTTGACAGTCCAACTACACTAGCCATAATTAGATACAGGAAGCATGATGTTTGCCCATTGTTTTAGCTGAGCAAGATACATTTGCCATATCAAGAAACAGAACGCAAACATACCGGTAGATGTCAAATTGTATTTTAAACTTCCCCGTGAAGATCCGGGTTTGAACTGGTCTCCCTACAGCCCATGGTTCACATAAGAGGCGAGTAACAGGCTCAGGTGGTCAGGCCCACCAACTTGGTTGATGCATGTCATCATATCCCAATTTGTGTAGATTGAGGCTCATGATGTCAATCGCTGGACTGTCTGGTCCAGACTCGATTATTTACAAACCACTGTCACATAGCTGGAATATTGCTGAGTGTGGCGTTAAACAACAAACAAAACATTGTATACTAAGGGTTAATAGATTGTGAAAGTGCATGTACTCTCTAAACTAAAGCTGCACAAACAAACTGCACTGAATATGATCATTGCTATTTATGAGGGATTTGTGCATGCATAATCTGTGTGGATCTACATGTATGTAGCAATAATGTAGTCTCTCACACGAGTAAATAAATATAAACATTTCATATCAATGATCAAACAGGAGAATATATTTCCTGATGACAAAAACCGCTCAATACAACATCTCAGAAAGAATTTTAACATAACAACAAATCAAATTTGGAACATGAGGAAATCTTTTACGTTACTTTACTGTCAGTTAGGCAAATAAACAATTTCATGCAATGTATGACATTGATATTGACACATGCAGATAAGCCATGTCAATTGTTTTATTGATGACTTTTGGTTACATTTTTTCTACTTAATAGTCAGTATAATTAAGGGACCAACCTTCATTTGAGTGAGTGATTGGGGTTTTATGCCACTTTTAGCACTATTCCAGTAATATCATTGTGGGAGAGACCCTAAATGGACTTCACACTTTGTGGACGTGACCAGCGAACACTTTCAGTTGAAGCTACCCCATCGTCCCAACTTTGAACCTTGCACAAGTGAATAATGTAAATTATCATTCCATGACTGATTATTGAGAAACTGTGCCTGAAAACATTGAAATATCAGTAAATGTTTCTCCTGACTTGACACTGAAGGACACAAACATGACAAAGCATTGAAGAGGAAATGTAAAATACATTTCCATGATTTGTGAAACGTAATTCCAACAGGTCATACCTTGTTTAAAAAACTTTGTTTTCTTAAAAACCATGATTTTTGTTGATATCAATATCATGAACAAATGGAACAAGATTAATAGGATCTCATAAAGTTTTCTAAGTCTTGTGACGACATGACTGATTCTTTTTAAAATTGACAACAAATTCATCAACATAGTTATTTTAATAGTTACAACTGAAATCCTTTGCTACAAATATTGTTAATGCCAACATACGTATATTGAACCAGGATTACAAAAGTCATCAGAATAGCATTATGTAACGTTAGCATTAATTGCTAAGTCCACTGCATTCTCATTATTGTTGATCACTCGTTACTCAATCATAAGTAATCTTGTGTGATCTATTTGGACATCCATGCATACATCCTAATGGGCTGTGGCCATACTTATAACAAGAAATCAATACCAACAACGCCAGATCACGCATGAAATATTAATTACTAATATCAATATGTGACTCCACCCAGGACATTCAACAGGTTGCCCCTGATAACTAGGGAAAGTCAGCTATCAAAGAACCACACAATCCTAGATATGAACCACAAAGAAGTAGGGTACAGCATGCAAGAAAACAAACTGTTAGTTCACATAGTATGTTATCGTAAAATCTTGTGCTAAAAATAAACCCTTTTCACTTCACTGATCCGATTATCAAAATGCATGAAAATTTCACATTGCCGACGAATTTTGTCAGTATGTGTGCACAAAAAATAACTAACCTGTATGAAAACACGTTAGGCTGCTGTTGTTTCAGAAATTACTGGCTTACTTTGGTGTCACATATGGACGAGCAACGTCACAGGAAAATTTTATAGTCCGTGGGAAAATGAGGAGGGGGAGTAACCGAAAACCCCCGACAACTTGTTGACGTAGCACTTGCTGGGTCAGCTTGACGCTGCACGGAAACAACGTGGATCGTCAACGAATGTAGGTTTTCGTTATCCAAGACCCATTTTGGGAAGGTAAACAAATATACCTGAAGGTATTTTAGTGATAATGGCGAAAGTTCTCACCTGCTCGGGAGGGTGTCAACGGAACTACCTTCTTAGTGGGCGAGAAGGATATCCCGTATGCGTACTACGTCATCAATTTGCGTGTTCAGGGGAGCATTAATTTTCCATGACTTGATTGTGGACAATATGTGCTGCAAGGGCTGCTACCATGATAACTGGGCAATTTGCCAGATACTTGTTTGAAAACGCGTCACAGTTGATTGGTTTATAAACATTATATCGTACCCTAAGTAAAACTAGGAACCACACATATGTTTCCACAATTTTATAAATTGGATTTATATTATTTTTTTAAGAGAGAGAGAGAGAGAGAGAGAGAGAGAGAGAGAGAGAGAGAGAGAGAGAGAGAGAGAGAGAGAGAGAGAGAGAGATTGTTTATCTAAGTATCAAAGTAACACTTATTAAAACTAATAATGTACAAAAACCATCCGGAGGTTATGAGGTACTTTCAAAACTCAAGACACAACTACACAAGTACCGGGTCATTTAGTTCATGACTATTAGAATACGTTAAATAAATAACATATACTGTTTGAGGTTAAATCTCCTTCCGGCAAAGTATAAATTGAGCGGATTATAATTTTAAAAGTTACACAAAAGACTGGTAAAGGCCATATATAAACACGTTTAATTTCCTCTAATCTTAATCTTAGCTAAGAGCTTGCCTTATAAATCCCGAGCAACTTAAGAAGTCAATATAATTAGATACCCAATCAACGTAGTAATTAACTGCGGTGACACAGATGTATTATGGATGTCGGTGTGTGTGCGGGGGGGGGGGGGGGGGGGGGGTGTCCAGTCATAAGGACTACAGCGTAAAACAACAAAAGTTATTGTCTAGTGGTCAGGGCGGTAGGTGTTAATTACCTTTACTTTTTACTGCCATAAGAACTACATGATACTTTATGGTGGGGGCAGTTCGGTTGGGTTTCTCTCCATCAGACCTGTGATGTAGTCCAGGTTTAGAGTCCGTCTGTGATCCCGCAATCGAGACTGGTGGATTGGTCACACGTAATTTTATTTCACCACGTAACTGCAAGACCTTATTATATGGGGACACATTGTTGATGGCGTCCCATGTGTGAGTATCCGTGGATTCAGTACCATGAGTGAGTGAGTAGGTGGGTGGGTTTATATGTCACTGAGCTCCAATATTATTATATTGATTATGTTTTTCTTCAGGAGGATACCCGGTCAGATTTAACCTTCAGAGGTTTAAATAACTGTCTTGAGTTACATCGTAAATATGTATCCAACACTTTGGATCGGTAGGGTAGCCTCGTGGAGGAAGCGTCCGCTGCATGGTGTGACCAGCCGTGATGTTGCTGGAATACTGCTAAAAGCGGTGTAAAACCAAATCACTATTAAACCATTGTTCCTATTATTCAACGTAGTCACGGGTGGCAAAGTCGTCTAAGGCGCCGCGATTCGCTGTGAAACCTATGATTGTGGTTCGAATCCCGGTTCGCCCCGACTATGTTTCTAGGTTTGTCAGTACCATACCCGATTTCGTGGGTTTCACCGAAGTGGTAAACGTCCGAGACCTGCATCACTTCGGGCTTTCCTCCCACATTAAGCTGACACGCCGTGATATAACTGGAATACTGTTAAAAGCGGCTAAACCCAACTCACTCAACCTAGTCACTATTTATGGGTTTATATAAGGTCTACTTCTCTTGCAAATACAGATCCGTCCAACCAAAACTTCACAACTGTGGTTTGATTCAATTGATATTGATAAGAGTCCATATTACTTCCCATGAAGTCAGTTACTATGTCAGTAATAATAAAAAAATCCATAGAGGAAGGGAGGTAACCCTGAATTGTCATGAAAACATTTCCTTAGATAACTTTCCAGAGATCACAAAAATATTTGTTTTCTGACGTAATTCATTTTGACCAACGACACATTTTGAATAAATATCTCCAAACAAAGACATAAAAAAGAAGACATTAATTAATATGGTAACAGGTGCGTGATGACTGTCATTATCGCTGTGGTCTTCGAGTGGTGTGATATCCTTTGTATATAGAATGTCTACATACATGGACTAGCGCATATTGTTATGGGGGGCACAGGTGGCCCAGTCGTCTAAGGCGCCGCGATTGTTGTGCAGAGTTACGTCCCTTGGGCACGTTAGAAACCTATGATTGTGGGTTCGAATCCCGGTTCGCCCCGACTATGTTTCTAGGTTTGTCAGTACCATACCCGTGCTCGTGGGTTTCACCGAAGTGGAAAACGTCTAAGACCTGCGTCACTTCGGGCTTTCCTCCCACATTAAGCTGACACGCCGCGATATAACTGGAATACTGTTAAAAGAGGCGTTAAACCCAACTCACTCACTCAAGCATATCGTTATGATGTTTCACCTCGCCATGGCATGATAGAACGATGTGCTGACTGCACAACTGATTTAAACTTCGTTAAAAGGGAGGAAACTAATGCCATCTAACGAACGTTGATGCGTATAAGAGTGTTTACTACATATTAAATCATTCTCGTAATTGTGGATGTTACAGAGATACAATATGAATTCAACCACCGGACTCTATCCGCATTTAACATCAATTACCGCCGTTCCTCTTTCGATAACATTGCTGAATAGGATTTTACGCCGCTTTTGAAACCGGTCAGCAACAAAACCATGAGAAATAACATATATCGCATTATTTACAAGTTTGCGTGAAATGAATGCGCGAGGTTGTTGGTCTCGTATAGTCCCCGACATCACAATTACCGGCTGACGCGCGAAGGGATAGCCCATTATTCTTTCTCTGTGATCCGTCGGCCTTTAATGTGTTAATGTATATGCACACCCGATAGCCCCCGCCGCAGTGTGGACTCGGTGAAAGGTCAGTATGGTATACTCAATTGTGCATTACGCCGTGCTGTGATATATCAAGTAGCACCTATATGCGTCGACAAGACGGAGGGAGGGGGGTCTTATAACCTTGGGTATATACATAATGAGAACTCAAAGTCTGTAACCTACTTAGCGGTGATATATATAGTGGTGTGTAACACATATGATAATTCAAGCCTTTTTTCAGTCAGCGAAATTCACATTTTGGATGTCATCAACCAAATAAGCCATACAAAAGTATTATATTCTGCATTTACACGTTCTTGTTGCACCTGAACGTGCTCTGCTGCAAGCTGTAACAAAGCAGATATCCTTGCCCACCTGGCGAAGGCTCGTCACACATGACAGCTTCACGTATACCGCTGGAAACTTGGTGACTGCGCGGTGTATATACTCAATATATATATATTCAATATGGGTTGGAACCAAACCGAGTCTACGACCTGTCGACCGACCACTTCGACCACTTGCCCACCTCGCCGCCTCGTTTCCTGTTCGACATGAATTATCTTTGAATACATCGCCTTACATTCTGTTCAACTCAGTGATGACTGCGGGGTGATGCGGTATATACTCATTCAATATGGGTTGAAACCAACCGGTCTACCTGTCGACCGACCACTTCGACCACTTGCCCACCTCGCCGCCTCGTTTTCTTTTCGACGTGAATTATCTTTGAATACATCGCCCTACATTCTGTTTAACTCAGTGATGACTGCGCGGTATATACTCATTCAATATGGGTTGAAACCAACCGGTCTACCTGTCGACCGACCACTTCGACCACTTGCCCACCCCACCGCCTCGTTTCCTGTTCGACATGAATTATCTTTGAATACATCGCCCTACATTCTGTTTAACTCAGTGATGACTGCGCGGTATATACTCATTCAAAATGGGTTGAAACCAAACCGAGTCTACGACCTGTCGACCGAACACTTTGACCATGCACCTGGCTACCTCGCCGCCTCGTTTCCTGTACTGTACAACACGAAATATCTTTGAATACATCGCCTTACATTCTGTTTAACTCAGTGGTTGAAAGCCATATGCTGTATTAAACGATACACAGCTCATATTGGAATTATGGATGAATATACGATGCATTTGAATTTTCGGTTAGGAACCCAAGTATAATCGAGTAAAGAACAGAATAATCATTACTCGTAGTAATTAAACCTCGATTCGTCTGCCTTGTATAAACGCCGGGGCAACCGACGTATCGGAAGAAAAAGGTCTGCCCTGAATCATCCTCGATAATGCAGGGTATTATATCTTCATTCGTCTTTTTAAATACGCTGGGTACCTCCGCTACCATAGCTTGATATCAAAAGTGCCAATTACTGACCTCACCATTCCCCTCTTTTGGGAGTGACTTCGCACAGAATTCTTTTCTCCCATGGGTGATATGTCTGGACGGCTATTTTTCGCGTCGCGCATTTGGAATGGGGCTTCAAACGAATATGTGGTGGCGAATGGTCTTTGGCATTGGTCATAATGGGTATAATCTGGGTAATCGGGGCAAACAGACGTCGCGTTATAAGGACGAGTTATGTCCCTTAAGGGGCGATCGGGTAGCCTAGTGGTTAAAGCGTTCGCTCGTCACGCCGAAGACCCGGGTTCGATTCCCGACATGGGTACAATGTGTGAAGCCCATTTCTGGTGTCCCCCGCCGTGATATTGCTGGAATATTGCTAAAAGAGGCGTAAAACCATACTCACTCACTATGTCCCTTAACTGTACAAGGACATTACCGTAGATCGTCTGTTTCACCGAAGTGGGTAATGGTAGACCAACTCTTAGTCTCTTAAAATGTATAATTTGGATAGAAACAAACAACTCCACCTCAATTGAAAAGGAGCGCCTGTGAGATGGGTTATTCAGAACCTGTGGTAAATCTAGACTTGCTCCATTTAGGGCTATAGCAATACCGTAAGGGCTTAGCGGAAGTGGAATAATATGTTTCAGGGAGTGTGAGACAGATTATTGATAAAACGTCTATCACTCAAGTATTGCAAAGTATCGTTCACCATACTCATCCACGCACTTACTCCTACTAATACTGCCGCATATGTCCGTGCTTGTATTAAGAGGCGAATAACGGGATCGGGTGGTCAGGCCCGCTGACGTTATGGATGCATGTCATTGTAATCACAGTTGCGTGGATCGGTGATCATGATGTCAATCACTTGATTGTCTGGTCCTGAGAGGCAACTTAATGGATTCGGAGGTCATCGTACCTTGACGGCGTAGATCGTTGTTCATAATGCAATGAGGTTCAGAATCAATTGTTCACAGACCGCCATCAGCTGGACTTTTGCTGAGTGCGGCGTTAAACAAACAAACAATCAAAACTACAGTAAAGTAAGGTTATAACGAACTCAAAGGGACTACTAATTTTAGTTCGTTATAACCGTAGTTCGTTATAAGCATACATACAGCATAACTACAGCAAATAGTCGGGACCAAAACAGTAAGTTCGTTATATCCCTAAGTTCGTTATAAGCGTGTTCGATATAACCGTAGTTTACTGTAGTGCCTTTTCATGTTTCCGATAATATACCAAGCACCTGCTAATTTGCAGTTGATGCCACAGCGCTTCACGGCCAGCCAGCCATGTTACAACTTGTTCCCGCATGCTGTTGATGACAGATACCGACCCATCCCTTCAATACAATCTTTTGTATTGTACTTTGCTTTATCTTATCAGGGAGATTATGGGGGTCCCGTGTATCATATTGTGTTCTACTCTGTGTGACTAGTAATTCTTCTCCTGTACCCGCCCTGTCCGGTATAGTTATTGTGAAATGTCAGAGCAGGGCGGTGGGTGGGCCTAGTGGTTAAAGTGTTCGCCCATGCACCATGCCGAATATACATGTTCGATTCCCTTCGTGGGTACAATGTGTGTATTCTTGTATCTGCGAATAGCTGAGTGAAACCATACTCACTCACTCATGGTCGATCAATTATTGACACAGGAAATCTAAGTTCTTATAAAGAAAGAAAATATTTACATTTATTTACTATTAAATATCTCTATTTTAAAACTACAAAAGCTTATATAGAGTGAATGAGTGAGATTAGTTTAACGCCACTGAACAGTATTTCACTTATTTCAAGGCGCGTCAGCTTGATGTGGGAGGAAAGTCGGAAGTGATGCTAGTCTTTTGTCCCCATCACTTGATCATGAAATAGAATCACGAAATATCGCGATGATTAATTAATGAAGATAGCTGCGTATGTGCGATGTAAAGTGAAAATGGCGATAAGGAATATTACTTTTCCATAAACAGCATCCAGTTTGCTTGCGATAAACATCCTCATTGAGTTGTGAACTGTTATTCGAACCTTATGTGTGTGTGTGTGTGTGTGTGCGTGCGCGCGCGCGTGTCTGTGTTTGTTTGAACTGGTATTGGAACATTATATATTAATGTATTTGATCTTTGTTGAATTTCAGAATTCTCGGAAAATCAGTATGATAATTGCTGAAAATCATTTTACTGATAGTCAGTCGTTTTGTAAGATGATCTGGATTGTTTCGATCTGCACTTGTTATTCAACAGCTCTGTCATTACCATTTCACGTTCCGCGAGAGTGAAAGGGTTTATCAGAGATCATTACCGATCGGTATATGGTCTCTGGGTTTATCTATACGTCGGCCATTGTATGGTTAATGCCTCGCGTGTGGATTTTTGCGAAAGATATGCTTATCTGTTCCCGAGTCAATGCAGGCGTGTGCCGAGACACAGTAAACGCTCAGCCCCTGCATGGTAAGAGAAGTATTAGGAGTTTCGCATGGGTTCCTATCTGACCGGGGGTACAGGTGACGAGTGGTCAAAGGCGCCGCATTTCGCTGTTAAAACTTGCGTACTTTTGTCATGACAAGATCCATTTCAATTATGACTATGAGTTTCACTAAAATGGTAAGTCTTTTCGACCTGCGTCTTTCCGGATTGATTGGACATTAATTTAAGCTACACCGGTATATTTGTTTGTTTTACGCCGCACAAACTAGTATTGGGTATAAATAACATACTGTTCAAAGCGGCGTTAAACTCAATAAATTAGTGCAGATTCAGAGGTCCAACACACAATGGCTTTCGGTTAGTGTACACCCTCGCTAAAAAAATACTTATCCTCAAAGCGCTCGTAAAATCCCCGATCTAGCATTTACTCGACGATTATAATGTTTGTTTGTTTGTTGTTTAACGCCATGCAAACTCAGCAATATCCCAGCTTTATGACGGCGGCCTGTAAATAATCGAATCTGGACCAGACAATCCAGTGATTGACATCATGAGCATCGATCCACGCAATTGAGATACGATGACATGCATCAACCAAGTCAGCGTGCCTGACCACCCGATCCCGTTAGTCGCTTCTTACGACATGCATAGTCGCTTTCTTCGACAAGCACGGGTTGCTGAAGATCTATTCTACCCCGGACCTTCACGGGCTTATTTTTAATGTAACTGCTCAACGTTTGACAGGGATATGTTCATATATACTACTTAAAAGAACACCGTATTTTTTTCGTATGATACAGGTTATATAAAGAAATAACAGCAATGGCCCTATCAAAAGGTTATCAAATGCATGTGGAGAATGGTCTCCAACATACTTTCCTCGTGTTTAAATCTTATAAACATTGTGCGATAATTTGCCTCAGCATGCCTTTTCACTTTCTTTCAAAACAACTCGTAAAATATATTTTCCAGCCTGAAGCAAAAAGTGAATATGATTCATGTAAATATCCCCCTCAGGAGCCGTTCTTTCATCCGGGCACTGACATCAATGTGTGCTGTACGATTATTTATTTGTTTGGTTTGTTGTTTAACGCCACACGCAGCAATATTTCAGCCACATGGCCGAGGACTGTCAATAATCAAATCCGAACGAGACAATCCAGTGATTGATATAATGAACAAGGATCCACCCCGTCGGGGTACAGTGACACACTTTCAGCTACGTCACCAAGCCTGACCACCTGATCCATTCGGTCGCATCTCACGATCAGTATAAAAAGCCGGACAAAGAAAGCATACACTTGAAAATTGGATTTGACCAAAAACTTACGAGGGTGTCAAAACATTACTAGACTGATCCCTGTTGTGAGATGTATGTTATTCGCCTATGATACCCGTATCAAATACATCACTTTCGAATAATGATTTTTGTTTTGTTTGTTTCATTTTAAGCCACCATCAAACATGGGTTATACCTTCTTTTGCCCGGCAGTGATTTGTTTGTTTGTTTGTTGTTTAGCGGCGCACACAGCAGTATTCCAGCTATATGACAGCGGTCTGTAAACAATCGAGTCTGGACCAGACAATCCAGTGGTTGACATCATGAGCATCGATCAACGCAATTGCTATATGCTGAAAGTGCATCTTGGATGACAGATGAGTGAGTGATAGAGTAAGATTTTACGCCGCTTTTAGCAATATTCCAGCAATATCACGGCGGGGGACACCAGAAATGGGCTTCACACATTGTACCCATGCATGTCGGGAATCGAACCCGGGTCTTCGGCGTGACGAGCGAACGCTTTAACCACTAATTGACTACATATCTGTACCATGATTTTCATTCAAATGTGAATTGTAAATTGAAACACACTGAACCAATTGTTCATCTTACGTATTCCTGCGACAGCGTGAGTGAGTAAGTAGGATTTTACACAGCTTTTAGTAATATTACAGCAATGTCATGGCAGGGGAGAGTGAGTGAGTATGGTTTTACGGCGCTTTTAGCAATATTCCAGCAATATCACGGCGGGGGACACCAGAAATCGGCCATTGTACCCATGTCGGGAATCGAACCTTCGGCGTGACGAGCGAACGCTTTAACCACTAGGCTACCCGACCGCCTTAGACGACTGGGCCACCCGTGCACCACCACCACCCCCCCCCCACCCCCCCCCACCCCCCCCTTTCAACAGTTTTCCAGTCATATCACAGCGTGTCAGCTTACGGGATCGGGTGGTCAGGCTCGCTGACTTGGTTGATACTTGTCATCGATCCCAATTGCGTGGATCGATGCTCATGATATCAATCACTGGATTGTCTGGTCCAGACTCGATTATTTACAGACCGACGGCATATAGGTGGAATATTGCTGAGTGCGGCGTAAAACAACAAACAAACAAATAATGTGGGAGGAAAGCCCGAAGTGATGCAGATCTCAGGCGTTTACCACTTCGGTCAAAACAAACCTAGAAACATAATCTGGGCGAAGTTATATATGTCAACTTCTTTATTATGAGGAACACAACGTTTCGGAGTCTACTTACTCCTTCATCATTCATCTAGCATTTCATTAAAGAGTAGGGGGCACGGGTGGCCAAGTCGTCTAAGGCGCCGCGATTCGCTGTGCAGAGTTGCGTCCCTTGGGCACGCCAGAAACCTATGATTGTGGGTTCGAATCCCGGTTCGCCTCGATTATGTTTCTAGGTGTGTCAGCACCATACCCGTGCTCGTGGGTTTCGCCGAAGTGGTAAACGTCTAAGACCTGCATCACTTCGGGCTTTCCTCCCATATTAAGCTGACACGCCGTGATATAACTGGAATACTGTTAAAAGCGGCGTAAAACCCAAGTCACTCATTAAAGAGTAAACAGAGACAAAATCATACATGTCAATACAGCATCCGGGGGGCATTAAAGAGTCTCTGCAGTTACACAATATATCAGTCTGACACAGCCGGGGGCATATTTCCGCGTGTTCAAAAGACAGATGCTACCATATACAGGAAACTAAATATGTTGAACTTGACACATAACATTGAGTAATAAACGAAACTTAGCCCTTCGTCACACTTTGCCAGGTGCGTAATCTACTTCCAAATATGGAATGACGGGTAGAGGGGAATTCCTTGTGTGACGTAATGAGATAACTTCAGAACGAGGCTCACAACGGGAATCGCCCTTTACATGTGAGTGGCGAGTGATATTTCTTTAGAATAATCTGTCTACATTTTGAGATCGTTTCATCCTTGGACATCAAAATGCAGGTAAGTTGCAGAGAGTGATGTTTCCTACTGAATCCCGAACGATAACTACACAGTACCGTTACGGGAAGGCGCTGTTGTGGTACAGGCCGAGTGAGCGTGTTGTGGCTTGGATTGCTGCAAGGAGAAGTGGTTTCTTTCTCCATGAAAATCGTGACTCCCGTTCTGATCCACGATCTAACTGTTCGTTGGGTTGTATAACTAGCGCACGGTGTTATCGACATTTGGAACTCCATTCGTGACAACCGATAAAAATGAGGATTTGTGCTGGTAGACTAAATATAGATTCTACTGAAAAGAGGAAGACCAAATATTAAAACCCAATCTCATTATCTTTGACAATGCTTGCACTGGATGATCAGAAAGGAAAATGCCCTTTTTGCATATGGGATTAGACAATTATTGTACCAATTTTGTCAACATTAAGATGCTTATTGTATGAACATTTATTTTGAAAGTCGGACAAAACAGAGAAATTTCACTATTTGTGCAAGATATCTACATAGCTGTCATAGTTCCTCCTGGGTACAATGTGTGAAGCTCATTTCTTGTGTCCCCCGCCGCATATTGCTAAAAGCGGCAAAAAGCGATACTCACTCAGTCATGTTTCCATGTCTTGTAGAAGTCTACACAAAAGCAGAGAACATATACCGATATACGGTCTCTGACAAAAGTTATTATCATCAGGAGAAGATCATCAAGCTAGCCTGCAAAGTAGAATCTGTCTGACGAGACTAATTCAAACCTCTGTCAGTTTTGGACCAAATCTACGGTCTCAAAAATATTTACTTCATTCGTCAACAACAGTTGTCTAATCTAGACTTGCTTTAGCCAAGATTGAAAATTGTGAGAGAAAGGACCAATTTATTATGTAATTGACTCTCTCTGAATTTGATGGGCTTTTCACACATCCCACTCGCACATCTTGTAAGCTGTTCTCATAAACAAGCACTGTGTTCACAATATAGATTGATAATAAGAATGACCACAAGTCAACGGTAATGAAGTGTATTCTCCTTGTAGTTGACAAGATAGACACAATTTTATGGATAACAACTTCTTTAATACTGTAAAAAGCGAACGTTTCGGTATAGATCCTTATACCGTTGTCTCCTTGTAGTTGTTTACATCTTGTGTGATACAGTTTCCCGCAATATCCAAAGTACACATTATCTCGTTACGTCATATGATGACGTCATGTATCGATGAGTTGTCTGAGTAAACTAGGATGGCTTCCTTCCATGTTCTGTTGTGTTTGGCATGGCACACGAGCGTGCATACTCCCGAGTACAAATTTGTGAATACACGACAGGTAGCATACCACATATATATTACAGGTGCAGGCCTAGCTAAAACGATCAAACTCCTAAGCAGTTACATTTTATAAGGATTTAAAGTAAATACAACTGCCAAGATCAATATTGTTTGAATAATAGGGTTCACTTTTCTCACAAACATACTTCTGCTTGATACATGAACTCTCACTTCCATGAAATGAATAGGAAGAAATGTCCTGTTTGAGACATATTCAAATCACACATGTCAGGTCAATCAGTGATCATGGTGATGACTGTGAAGTTTCCAGGTGTTTTGACTGTAAATATGCCATGGTATTTCCTTATTACAGCATAGCCACATCTGCTGTTACTCTGCTAGGCATGTCATTGCTTGGTTAGCAGTTTATGGTCTTCAAATGATAAGATTAGACAAGCTGGCAGTGGCATGTACAATGTAAACATGTCGACTGTACCCGATACATGTATTTTGTTTATATTAGAGTTGGCATTTCCCCAAAGCGTTTAGGTAGTATTGTACTTGTAGACACATCTTCAATCTTGACTTTTCATATGAGATATCAAAGGATGTTACTATTTGCTCAAAATCTGATTTCTGTCTAATTCAGACTACTGTTTAAACAGACATGTCCTAGGCCTACTTGCAAAAAGTGATCTTAGCGCTAAGATGATCGTAACTCCAATACTTTAACATAGGCTTACGATAGTCTTAGCGCTAAGATCACTTTGTGCAAGTGGACCCTGGTCTCATTCAAATACTGTTTAGACATACCATTGTACACTGACCCCGTGATGACAAGGTCTTGAGTATTATAGTTATTTGGGATATCCTGATTAACTGGGATATTAGAACAGAATCTGGCAACACATGCATGATCATGATGGTATAGCTGTTGCACACTATACAAGCTATGCATTGCCAATATAGCCATCTGTTATCATATGCTTAACATACTATTGTCATTAATAATGTTAATAAATATGTATATAATGTATTATATTATAAGATAAGACTTTATTATCCCAAGGGATATTCCGTGGTCTAGTGGTAGAGCGTCCGCCCAGAGAGCGGAAGGTCTGGGGTTCGATCCCTGGCCGCATCATACCAAAAGACATTAAAAGATGGTACTTGTTGTTACCCTGTCTGGCGCTCGGCATAAAGGGGCTAAAACAAGGACTGGTCAGCTCGGAGTCAGTATACTGTGTCTGAGTAGGGTATTCATGTTAAACTGCGGCATGGTATCTCAGTGAGCTAGCACTCTAAATCGGCATTAGTCTGGACTAGTACAAGCAGCCACACATACACACACACACACGTGTATGCACGTCGCTATATAAGTTCAATAATCTTTGACGCGACGTTAAACCCAATTTCACCTAACCCAAGGGATATTCATATTGCACAGTTGCTGAGCGCTAAAATATGGAAAAAAAAACCTGTATGTTATTAAAATATGTACATAAGAAAATAAGACACTTACTTATAAAACTACAGATAAAAACGTTGTTATATTTAGGTTTTGAGTATGTGTATGTTTACTTTTTGAGAATTGTTTTTGGAGTAATTTATGTCTTAGCCGTTCAAGAAATACTAGATGCCTGCTTAGCCATATCTAGGGCCTGCTCCACAGAGCTGTCTAGCGATAATGTAACGCAGACTTCCATACTTTAACATATTGTACTATAGAAAGTGAGCGAGCGAGTATGGTTTTACGGCGCTTTTAGCAATATTCCAGCAATATCACAGCAGGGGACACCAGAAATGGGCTTCACACATTGTATCCATGTCGGGAGTCGAACCCGGGCCTTCGGCGAGACAAGCGAATGATTTAACAACTAGGCAACCTGACCGCCCATGAACTACAGAAATGTTTTCTGATTTTCCCATAAAAACCGGTAATCATGTATGGTGGTATTATTCCTGATTAAAAAGACCATATCATGTGGGTAACAGGTGTTTCACTCACCGCAGGTATAAGTTGTCCTTGGGGGTTTGATGCCATTCATGGTGATTAATCATACTGGTAAAGGATAGGGCTGAAATGATCCACATAATTCATAACAATATGATATATAATATATTAATACATATTGATAACTAAATCAGGGGTTTATCAAGATCTGCTCAGAGGTTATAATTTGGCTTAAAACCTGTAGTCTGTAAAAATTCCCAAATTGGTATAAACAAATTCCCAGTGAGTGAGTGAGTGAGTGAGTATGGTTTTATGTCGCTTTGGGCAATATTCCAGCAATTTCATGGCGGGGAACACCACAAATGGGCTTTACAAATTGTATCCATGCGGGGAATCAAACCCAGGTCTTTGTTGTGACGAGTGAACACTTTAACCACTAGGCTACCCCACCGCCCCTAACAAATTCCCAATTCATGTTAATATAGTTACAGCAAATATATGGCTTATATTTCACTGATAACTGATAAGAAGAAGTGGCATTATTGTATTAATTGCAATGTTAAAATACCTCTATATTTAAGAATAGAACACATGTTAATTCATAAAATTCCAATTTTGCGAACATAATTATTTTTCCAAATTTGCCTGACAAGGGCTTTGGTTTAGAATACTACGTAAATCCATGTAAATGCACTGCACTGTCTTATTTCAAAATTGTCTAAATTACAAGTATCATCACAGCAAGTGAAATAACATTCAGTAATTTAAGCAATGTAACTTGAAGATAGTGACTCATATGTAGAACCATTGTGTAGCGAGTATTTTCAAGTCAAATAACAAGAAAATGTAATTCTCCAGAATATTCAAGTTCTTAGAACGTGTATGAAACTATTTATCGACTCTCCAACATTTTCATTGCTGAGCATGTGGAGCACCTGTTGTTATGTGATGGTGTTGTTGCAGGACCCAAATGCCGACACTGAGTGGAATGATGTACTTCGAGCTAAGGGCATCATCCCGCCCAAAGAGAAGGAAGTCACCGAGGATGACCTTGTCAACATGGTGGAGCAGACCATCCATGATAAGAGCCAAGGTCAGTACAGTACGGCTCAAAAAGCATGTTTACCTGTAACATTGTTTTATTGGCCTCATCATACCAAAAGATGGTACTTGATGTTGCCCTGCCTGGAGGTTGGCATTATGGGAATAAAACAAGGACTGATCGGCTCTGAGTGGCTATACCAGTCTCGAAAAAGCAGACAGACACATGCATGCATGTCTATATAGCAGTACAATAATCTTGAACGTGATGTTAATCCCCTTTTTACCTTACCTCCAACTTTGTTTAATTTGTGTTCTTTTTACATACCCTTTGAACAAAGGTCGAGTGGCCAAGTTATTGAAGGCACTGCAACATGTTTTGCAGAGTTGCATCCCCTCATCGTAAATTATATTGGTTGATTGCAGGACTTGCAAAGACAGTGCACGGTCATCTTCGCTCTAACAGATATTTTCAAAATCTTTTCATGTTTTAATCAAGGTGCTCACTAGGGCTGGGACGGGTAACTCGGGTACTTGGGTCGGATGGGTACAGAGTAGAACCTGGGTACCAACAGGACTACCCGGACCCATGATTAGTCACATGATATATTGTTTAATGACAAAAAATATCTAGAACTCTATGGTTACGCTGCAAGTTACTAATGTTCGCATTTCTTTTTGACTAAGCACCATTCCTTCTGACCTTTATAGGTTTGAATAAAGATAAAACTTCAGTCAACTTCAGTGTATGCATGACCAGATCGTTTTATGCGTGTATCCAAATACACTTTACCAGGACTACGATCAAACTATTCCCAATCGGACATTTTGTGCCCAACTAGGGTTGGGTAAAAGCGGGGTGGGTACCTGGGTAGTAAATTTGGACTCGTCTCAGCCCTAGTGCCCACGTAATTTGATGCACCCGTTTTTTTACAAGATAGATTTTTTATTATCGATCAGATCGTATTGACTGGGCGCCACCATTTTGTTTGAAGCAGTGCAAGTGATATAAGAAGTGGAATCTGATTGTCAATAGGAGGGACATAGAAGGGACATAACTCGTAATCACCACTGGTGGCGCTACGATTGAGCCCAGAAATTTCAGCCAAGTTCAGCAAGGGTGGAAACTTGACTTTTACAGTCAGTTAACTCCCTTGCCTCGTGAAGATGTTAACTCCCTTGCCTCATGAAGATGCATCCCATAGACGTGTTGCGATACAATGCATATTTCCATTTTTGCCAACAACCCATTCATAAACATGATATACTCAAGTCAGTCCCTCAGCCTCAATTATAACATTGCCTCCTGTAGCCCTCATTGTGCCTTGTTATCTTAGGGAAGGCGTTAGCAGACATGAATCTGGACGAGCTGGATGAAAATGAAGATGACATCGATGAAGAAGAAGAGAGAATGTTTGAAGAATACAAGTGAGTGCTGAGAGTATATGGACACCACGGAAACTGAACGTCCATTAACTGCGATGGTTGTTGGTTAATTAAGATCAACATCACCTTCCTTAATCACCTGGATGGCATGGATTCTGGATCAACAGGGTCCAGAGTACAAGGGTTTCAATGTACATGTATCTAGATTAACAGGGTCCAGAGTATAAGGGTTTTAATGTACATGTATCTAGATTAACAGGGACCAGATTATAAGGGTTACAATGTACATGATGTCTGGATTAACAGGGATCAGAGTGTAAGGGTTTGAGTGTACATGGTTTAGGTATCATATATTTCTTATTGTATTTGAAGTCTGACATTTGACATAGCTGTGATTGTACTTCGGTATGCAGCTTAGGATAACTCAGGCCTATTTCTGAACTCACCAACTGTAGTATTGCAGGAATTGCTATTAGTAGTGTAACACCATACTCACTCACAAGAATGACTCTGACCGTCTCCATGCTCTTGTGGATAGAGCGACTGCCTTAAGAGTGAGTGAGTGAGTTGGGTTTAACGCCGCTTTTAACAGTATTCCAGTTACATCACGGCGTGTCAGTTTAATGTGGGAGGAAAGCCCGAAGCGATGCAGGTCTCAGACGTTAACCAATTCGGTGAAACCCACGAGCAGAGAGTATGGTGCTGACAAATCTAGAAACATAATCGGGGCGAACCGGGATTCGAACCCACAATCATAGGTTTCTGGCGTGTCCAAGGGACGCAACTCTGCACAGCGAATCACTGCGCCTTAGAAGACTGGGCCACCTGTGCCCCCGACTGCCTTAAGAAGGACAGTCAGTGGTTCAACCCCCAGATGGTACTTGTTGTTGGCCTGCCTGGTGCTTGGTATTAAAGGGATATAAAAGGACTGGTCGGATCAGAATAAGTATAATGTGTCTCAGTTGATTATGCAGCATGGTATCTCAGTGGGTTAGCACTATAAACCCAGCCCTTAATGGTTCATTATTGTCTTGAAGGCAATGTTATACACAATGTTAAATACTACCGAAACAAAGAACTTTAAAAAAAATCCAAATGTTGAACAAAATAACAATGTTTTCTCAATTCGCCTACCAGGGGCACCCAGCTTGGCATCATCTGTATATCCATGCTTGTGGCCAGTAGCCGCCTCTGAACAGGTCTTCGTGAAACCAGCATGCAGTAATGGCAGCTCAAAGACACCATCAGCACTGACTCTGGAGGACAACATCAAAGCCTTTGATTCACTTGGTGTTTCTCTCTGCTTCCAGGAGACAAAGAATAGCAGAAATGAAGGCAGCACAGATGAAGAGTAACTATGGCGACGTCTTGGAGATCACAAAAGCTGACTGGGTGAAGGAAGTAAACAAGGCGGGCGAGGGTGTGTGGGTGGTGGTGCACGTGTACCAAGATGGGTAAGATACATTTCTTCCCATGTGGAGGGTGGTGCAAGTGTAATAACTAGAGCTGAGACGATACACAAACAGCGCGATCCGATACGTATCACGATACCTTGCTCAGAGTCAGATACATATTGCGATACTTGCATACATGTGCTCTTATCTGTGGTGCGTAAGACAGGACGGCCAAATACCTGACACTAACGATTTACAGTTGGCAGTGTTAAGTATAGCGCAGTGGATGAAAATATTTACGTTTTTACTACTCATTTTCACTAGTAATTAGTGTTTGGTGTAACATGTTTTAAAGAATACATTTGAGGTAAGAATTGATCATTTTCATTTAGTGTGCCATTGTGATCGATACTTGTATGATCAGACGTAAAACACCATCTTCCCGAGGCAAGGGAGTTAACTGACTTTAAAAGTCCAGTTTCCACCCTTGCCGAACTAGGCTGGTATTATGGAGTTACATTTTGGCTGGACTAACGAGTCTATGCATAGTCCAATCAAAATGGCGCACTGAAATCGAAATCGGGTTCGTAAACTGTCGTGCAGATTTCGGTAGATTGCAGGATTTGCAAAGCATGTGCACCGTCAACTCGTTGTCAGCAGATATTTTCCAAATCTTTTCATGTTTTTAATCAAGGTGCTCACGTGATTTGCTGCATTTCGCGACGTAAGACCCGTTTTATTACAATATAGATCTTGATTATCGATCAGATCGTCCTGACTGGACACCGCCATTTTGTTTGAAGCAAATGCAAGTGATATGAGAGATGGAATCTGATTGGTCAACAGGAGAGGCTTAGAAGGGACATAACTGGTAATAGCCACTGGTGGCGCTGCGATCGAGCCCTGTAATTCCAGCCTAGTTCGGCAAGGGTGGAAACAGGACTTTTATAGTCAGTCAACTCTCTTGCCTCGGAAAGATGTTAAAACACGCGATCCACCAATGCATCAGTGTATTGTCCCACTACTAGTAATAACCATACACGTGCATGCACGTCGCTATATAAGTGCAATAATCTTGGACGCGACGTTAAACCCAATTTCACCTTCACCTCACTAGTAATAACCAGCAACACCAGAGTCACAGCAACACCAATAGGTCACAGATCTAGTTATGAAATGCATTTTAATCTTTAAGTCTGTTCTCTTTGCTTCATCTTATGATTTCATTTGATAAAATATATGGCATATATATCTGTTGTTTTTGTGTATGTAGAACACTTATCGATAAAAATGAAAACGTTAGATAAATCATACATTTGGCCACACAAAACCAATTCAAGCCCTTGTCAAACACTGGGTAAGCTGTAAGTTTTACACTTATCCTATCTCCCACTTAGCATTTCTTCTTCGATCCTATGTGGAAACGTGCTTGAACAAAGTTTCCAGCTTCTAAAAAACAATTCACCCGAACACATCCCAGTTTAGCCATTATCATGCACCCAACAACTGGGATTACCCATGTAATCTGTGCGTAGTGACCTTACACAACCTGATCCTAAGATCGCTCTGTGGAACAAAGCCCAGTACTTGTTAGGATAGCGTAAGGAGTGAGCATAGTGGCTGTAAGGAATTCACTAATACAAATGTTCAATACCTGTTTTGATTTTCAGCATCCCTTTGTGTAAGCTGGTGAATCAACATTTATCAAACCTAGCCAGAAAGTTCCCAGCAACCAAGTTTGTGAAAGGCGTGTCTTCAGTCTGCATCCCTAACTACCCTGACAAGAACCTGCCAACCGTCTTCATCTATTGTAACGACGACCTCAAGAAGCAGTTTGTGGGGCCGATAGCATTCGGGGGGATGAACCTAAAACAGGATGGTGAGATTGACAACTGTGACTATTCTTGTGTCTTTTTTAAAAGAAATCCATAATCATTTTGCAAAAACAATGATCAAGTTGTGATATTTATTAAGCTGTGCAAAGCTGTGTCCCTAAGGCATGCCAGAAACCTAGGTTTGAATCCCAGATTTGCCCTGGTTATGTTTCTAGGTTTGTCAGTACCATAACTCTGTTATGGGTTTCACTGAAGTGATAAAGATCTAAGACCCGCATCACTTTGAACATTCCTCCACATCAAGCTGCCACTCTGTGATATTACTTTAATACAGTTCAAGACAGTCTTAAACTCACTCACTCAGGTGTTTAACATGTTAAAAAGATGTCAATTACTAACATATGGAATTGGAGACTTACTGGGTTTACAATGTGGAGTTATGTTACTATGGTGACCTGTCCGTTTGAGTTTGATGAAACTAAATTCGATTTGGAGCCATGCTCGCAAAATGAAGCAAGCCTTGCAAGGTTCAGTTCATCTTCCTGAGGCAAGGGAGTTTAAAAGTCCAGTTTCCACCCTTGATGAACTAGGTTGGAATTATGGAGTTATATTTTGGCTTGACTAACAAGTCTATGCATAGTCCAATCAAAATCCTGTAATGAAATTGACATCCTGTTTATAAACAATATGGCAACCGCCGTGCCGAATTGATGCACTTTGCAAGGTATAACCCGTTTTTCTAACAATAAAGATTTTTATTATCGATGGAATTGACTTGACTGGGTATTGCCATTTTATTTTAAGCAAGTGCAAGAGATAGAAGAGGTGAAGTCTGATTGGTCACTAGGGGGGGACATAAAAGGGACATAACTCGTAATAGCCATTAGTGGCGCTATGATCGAGTTACAAAATTCCAGTGTAGTTTGGCAAGGGTGGAAACTCCCCTGCCACAGGAAGATGGTTTCAGTTTTAAGTTCTAAGATAATAATCGTGGCTCAATCCCTTTTTTGCCTGAGAAGAAAGAGGAATGATAGACTTCATGACTATCAGCACTATCAGTGAACCGTAATGTTGTTTTGTTTCAGAACTCGAATGGATGCTTGCTCAGATAGGAGCCGTGAAAACTGACCTGGAGGAATCACCCAAGAAAGAAATCAGAGATGTCATGAACTTGGCAGTGCGTCAGAGTGCAATAAATGACGACAGTGATGACGACTACTGAACTTCTGTTACACCAATTTCTCACTGATATTAAGCTGCATTTCCCGAGCATTCCCCCAGTACAGAGAGGGGTGTGTATGTGTGTGTGGGTATGTGTGTGCGCACAGAGACAAGGGAGACCACTCCACTTCATCAAGACATCCACCAGACCATGTGGGGCTTCATACCACAGATTGTCACCCAGGACTCATACTTAGTCGGCTAAAATGACTATTTGGCCACGCCTACTAGTCATTGGATTTTCTCTTATTTGATGATTTATAGATTTTTCTTCTCAAAGCCCTCAGTTTATGGTTGAGATCAAATACCAATTTTTTTAGATTAGTCCTGTTATTGTGCGTGTTAAAAAGAAGGGACATGTTGAGAAATGCTTTTCTAAATTTTCGATATTTTAATAATGTGTCATTTTTGTGAAATGTGACGGAACTTTTAAAGTTTTTATACTGAAAACACAATCATACGCTGAATTGTTTTTCCGCATTTTTTTATTTGTGATGTTGGCAGTCAGCAAACCAAGCAATAAAAATAATAACCTGTACAATAACACGTGCCGTGCTGTGTGTGGGATTTTCAAAATACGATAGTTTCTGCTACTTTTATGGATACCTTCATCGTGAATATTTTTGGCTCAGGTCTTACGGCTATTGTTACCATGGTAACAGGTGTTAATTTCCGATGACCCAGATAAAGAGGATAATGTGTTGTTTTTATTTTAATGATTTCAAGGTCAGTGTATAATATTATTTCAAATATACTTCTTTATAAGTTGTTTATTCTTGTCTGATAGTAATTGATTTAAGTAAATGATTCTTTCAAAATCTTCATTTCAGTATTAGGTTGATATATACTTGGCGGTGTCACCATGGTTACTGCCCTGAGCAAATTACTTAAAATGTGCAGACAATGTCTGTCTCTTGGACTTCCATGTTTTCCTGTGTTAGTAATCAAATTGTTCTAGTTGGCAGGACTCGAAATGAAGTAAAACGTCCTGAAATGTATGCAGCTGAAGGTGTAATGCTGTTTTGCATAGTGCGCACATGTAAACAGTGACAGATGGCATCTTCCCGAGGCAAGAGAGTTAACTGACTATAAAAGTCCAGTTTCCACCCTTGCCGAACTAGGCTGGTATTATGGAGTTACATTTTGCCTGGACTAACGAGTCTATGCATAGTCCAATCAAAATCGCACCCTGAAATCGAAATCCGGTTCGTAAACCGTCGTGCAGATTTCAGTCGATTGCAGGATTTGCAAAGCATGTGCACCACCAACTCGTTGTCAGCAGATATTTTCCAAATCTTTTTATGTTTTTAATCAAGGTGCTCGCGTGATTTGAAGCATTTCATGATGTAAGACCCGTTTTATCACAATATAGATCTTGATTATCGATCAGATCGTCCTGACTGGGCGCCAGCATTTTGTTTGAAGCAAACGCAGGTGATACGAGAGGTGGAATCTGATTGGTCCATAGGAGAGGCTTAGAAGGGACATAGCTGGTAGTAGCCACTGGTGACGCTACGATCAAGGCCCGTAATTCCAGCCTAGTTCGGCAAGGGTGGAAACTGGACTTTTAAAGTCAATTAACTCTCTTGCCTCGGGAAGATGACAGATGGTGGTGTTGATTTCATTATTTTTATCCATCACATTCTGTAAAAAGAACAAGTTTAGCATACTGAGCTGAAGCTAGATTTTATGTTGCTTACATCATTTATAAAGTGCTTCCTGTCTGGTGTTGATGTGTACATAGATCTAGAGGTACCAGTGTGTTTGGTCATGGAGAAGTCCTGCTGGAAATAATGCTTAGCCTATGAGTGTAGATCAAAGAGTGACTTTCTGATATTGGTAGAAAATGTGTGCTTCAAAATCAGCAGTTGTCCCAACATTTACAAGGCAAGATTATGACATTCTTTGACGATACAAAACTCCTAGAATTGAGCCCCATGACAGTCAGTAAGAGATAGGAAAGCCTGCTCTATTTGTTTACTGGCATGCTTCCGGTTTGGAGAGTTCCATGTATTCAGGGTGTATGCCCCTTTCTGATGATTCCTCTGTTTCAACAACAAACAATCATTTCAACCCATTCCCACAATATAATGCAGGGATCTTTGCAGTACATTAACACTTACTCAAATATATGGACACTTTGAAGAAGTCGTACGTGAAATATGTATTTTGTATTATTGCTGCATGTGTCAATAGAAATCTTCCTTGAATATTGCTAGATTTAAGTACAAGATATCCATCACTTCCATTGTTACTTGAAACAGATTGCATCATGACTGTCTGTTGCTCTTTCTGCCTTTCATATTTCGCTTGGTTTTTGGAGTTACTAACCTTAAAAATTAAAAAAAATAAATAAAAAAGATCCGAATGACAGGGTGTCTTTTATGCTCCTGACCGCAAAGATAACATTGACGAGAAAAATAACCCGCATGATTTTTATGTGACCAAAACAGATTTTTTTTTTGACAATTAATCGTCTTTATATTTGATCACTTTTATATCAAAATTAAACTTTGAGATGGTTAAAATATTACTGTACAATGCATTTTTTTCTTACTTTTTTTCCAACCTACTAGCCAAATATTCACTATTATGATCTGTAAACCCCCAAAATAAAATCTTGACTTAGTTGTGTTTATCCTGTAGCAATATCCTGTCACCTGTCATTGATGAAGTATGCCTGCACCACTCTACAGTGTTTTATTCAAGGTACATTTTCCCGATGTACAATATTTAGTTGAAGCATGTTACATGTGAATGTAAACATTATTTTAAAGATGACTGATTTTAGATGCTGATCAAAGACTTTATGACTATTTTAATGTATGTCATACGTTTCATAATGGATGTTAGTCTTGACATCATTATCATGATTCTGATTCCGGAATTTTTTTAACCATTATGGAGACAATGATAGAGTTGTCTCCCTTTAAGTAGGACATACCCTGAACAAAATCCTGTAGATCTGTCTTAGACCATTGGTACAACCAAGATAGATTCCACTCTGTGCTAAAAAAGCAGTCTGTGTGCTATGACAATCATGATTTTAGACCAGCAATACACAGCGGTATTGAAAGTAATTTGCAAGTGTCCGGTGTTCGCCATCAGAGTGCTTGTTATGGGTTTAAGTGTTGTCAGTGGTCCCTCTTCCATACCGAACAGAGTTGCCTCCCTTAGTTGCTCAGGGGTTTTACCAAGGATAACCTTTATGATCTGCATCCTGTTGTGTTTTCTGCCATATTAACCTGATATGTTGTGATAAAGCTGTGTAAAGTGACCATTAGGCCCATGCAGGAATTGTACTGGGAGAATAATTGTATGAAGTTGCCATTCTAGTGATGACAGGAATAGGCCTAAGATCATTTCACATACCCCTCAATACATTTACATGTCGCAGTGCAAATGTTAGGTTAGAAATTTACTGCAAAACAAAAGTCTGAAATATTGTCTGAAATATTGAAAGAAAAGAAGGTAAGAAAAACATGCTTCAAGAGTGACTCTAAGTTTAGATGAACTATCTAGCGGATGTTGACAAACATATACTTTTCTAATTGTTTTCTTGTATCAATATCAGGAATGTTTTTTTTACATTTTGGCATATCATAATAACTGAGACATACCAAGATGTTAAAAGATGGAATTTGTTGTCATGCCTGGCGCTCGACAATAAGGCCTGTGAAGACAGTATGTGTCTGTGTGGGTATCCATGTTAGAGTGCATCATGGTATTTCATGATCAGTGGGCTAGCACTATAAAACCGGTACTGTTGCGTACTAGTACAGGCAGCCACAAGTGCATGCACATCACTATCTAAGCAAAATAATAATAAACACAATATTAAAACTCCATTTCACCCGAACTGATAACCATGACCCTCAAATAAGGACGTAGGTTTATATCAAGAACCAACCATTTTTTGCAATAAGGGGGTGAGGGTGTATGTTGGTAGAATGATGTAAATGAGATCGCTTGTGCTTGACTATGAGTTCTTACCCATATGTGTGAATGGTGTGCTCCTCTCATGCCTTGCGTTTAGTCTGTGGTGTTAGTAGGAAGCTGCTGTCTCCTTGATTACATGTACAGATGTTGAGGAGTTACAATACTCTGCTATAAATTATCAATCCATTCATGAAATTCACAAACAAGAATTTTTCTTCGATTGACCTGGCCCTTTCTTAATTAGTGAAATGTGGAAGATAAAAAGTATTTTTTTCATTGAATGCAAACATTCTTTTCCACCATGAATTGGTTGTGCATACAGTAAGGTGAGCGACAAAACCAACAAACTAGCACTGCTCACGTAATAGATAACTTTATGAAGAACAAAAAATATATACATCAAATGTCTCTTATTATTTCTTTCCCTTTCTACTGACCAGAGTCTTTCACAAAATAATCAGAAATTAAGGTCTGGTCCTACATGGGTCATCTTCCTGGGGCAAGAGCGTCCAGTACCCTTTTTATCAAAGTCTTGTTTCCACCCCTGCCACATCAAGCCCATGACCTGTGCTAAATATGATTGGACTATCGCACATGTTGATAGTCCAATCAGAAAACGTTTCACAAAAACAACATCCATGACTGGTACACCTTTGTATGAAAATGATTTACCACAGCCTGTCTTTGTTGATATGAGGATGTCTTTTTCATCTTTTAAACCCCCTGACGATTGCCTATGTTTTTGTGTCAGGGATGAAATCTCTAATGTTTTCCATATCTGAAAGACTAGGTCGTCGCCTACGGTAGTCACCATCTTTGTGAAGCTATACAAGATAAGAACAGCGATCTGATTGGAGATCGCATTTTCATTACAAGGGGCACAACATGTGATCTACAGGAGGGGCGCAAGGGTCAAGCCAAGAAAAGTGGCCTTGGTGCGACAAGGGTAGAAACTAGGCTTTGATATAGGCTTGTGGACACGCATGCCTCAGGTAGATGACATCTGAACATTTGCGATATATCACTGAGTAGGCTTATCATGTTATTGATGGTGTTAGTCTTGTCATTATAACAGCAACATAATATTTCATCTCTAATATGTACATGTATTCCCATTTTCTGTGTATTATACAAACTGTCCTGTATATACATTATTTATGTGTCGACTTCAGTAGCTATGTAGTTGATGTAATAACTCCTATGTAGGACTCCACTATCTAAGTTGTTATTTTTTATTTTTTTATTTGAAGAGTAGTAATTCAAATGTATTTAAAAAATGGGATGAATATAATATAACTCGCATTGAAATGTTGAGAGTATTTGAGGCCAGACCATGTTTGTTCTTGTTTAACAGGCTGCCCAAGCCAATATGCTAAAATATGAGGCTAATTCCCTAAGTTTTATTTCCTGATTTTTTAAAAACAAAATTACAAACATTTAGAACATTTTTAGTCAACCATAACTTATTTTGGGGCAATTGCAAAATTTGACATAGCAGGATAGATGTGTCCTTAAATCAAGAAACTAAATAGGTCTTAACTTAATACTGTAAAATAAAGTAGACCCATACACTCGGGTTTCTTGCAATGCCTTGTGGAAATATGTTCTGCTTGAAAATCCACGTCAACTTTGTATGTAAAACAATGTACATCAAGGTTGTCAATATTTAAAAGAAGTTTTGTGCAAAATGTTTGGGCATGTTTTGTCAGGAGGCTTTTTGCCTGAAAACCAATATATATTTAAATTTTAGTCATATTTGCAATTGTCTCTATTGGGTTCTATTTTGAGGATGTGCATGGCTACCCATGTGAATCACCAATGTGTGTAGTCTATTTTCATGTAGTTAACAAACTCCATCACATTTGTTTTTACATTGTATAAAAATGTGAAACAATATCTTTCTTTGTTGTTTTTCCCCCAAAGAATATAATTTGTGTGGAAGTGTAAATAACAGTGTCCATACTTTTGTGATAGCTGTTCAAACTACAGTATTTTATTCAGACCAATTTGGAAGTGGAATGAAGAAAGCATAAAGTAAAGATAAGCTGTAGAACAACTACTAAGCTTGAATCCAAGTGAGTTTGGTTAGCTTGTTTAGCAGAAATATTGGCTAAACATCAGTAAAATAGTCAGAACAGTGTCACTCATGACGTTGATGTGAGCAGAAAGGGATGGACAGCATCAATCATGACATTCCTGTAAGCAGTGATGACAGTGCAGTGTCATGCATTCATGACAATG